CACCAAAAAAAGAAAAAAGATTTAAAAACTGAGCAAAGGGGCACACTCTATGACCAAAGACTCTTTGTAGATTGGGAAGTGACAACGACATATTAAGAAGGTGAGATGGGAATGCTGTGGTTTGGGAAGTATGCATAAGAGGTTGAGAATGGAACACTCCAGAAGGAAAAACAGAAGACACAAAAGTCTCCTGGTCCAGCCTGTCCAACGCCAAAATAAACTGCCCCCCCCCCCGGGCATCGAGGCCCCTGGGGGAAACAGACCTGGAGATGGGCTCTCGCTGGTGGGGCCACCGTCCGCTGAGCGCCCCAGGATTCTGGTGTTTGCTTGTTCACCAGGTGGCACTGTCGGGGAGCAGGAGCGGGCAGTCAACTCTCTGCTCAGAATAAAGGAAGGGAGAGAATTCAAAGGCCTGGGACTTCAAAGGAGGCCAGTTGAAAGGAAACCGGCTCCTCTTCAGACAGAGGAGTCGCACATGGGGACAGAGAGGAGCTGCGCCTCTGGGGGGCTGGGAGGCAGGGAGAGAAACTCAGGGAGCGGCTGGGCCCCGGGGCTGGGGGCAGAGGCCCCGGGAGGCGGGGACAGAGGCCGAGGTCATCAGGGGGTGTGGGCAGGGGTGGGGAAGCCGGATCTCAGGTGATTTCCTCGCAGACAGGAATGATCCGGAATGATCTAAAGGACAAAACCCACCCGTGGTCAGAAACGTCCAGTGGCTTCCTGTGGCACCCAGAGGACCATTACAGTTCTCCATCGGGGAAGCCACAGGCCGTGGAGAAATGTGAACAACACGGGTGACACTTAAAAACAAAGGCGGCCTGGTCCGGAGGGCGTCCCTCCATGGGGACAGTGAATCAAAGCTCCTCGGAAGCCGTCCCCGGTCCCACCCTGGCCTACGGGGAGAAAGGGACGATGGCTGAAAGCCGAGGGGCTCCGAGGAGGAGCAGTTGTGGCCCCGACCCCCAAGAGGCACAGGGGAAAGCAATCAAGTGCCCCAGTGACGGAAGACCAAAAGACACCGAAAAGATGAAACCAATTTGGGTAAAAGAAAAAGGAGGTCGGCTCCCTGGTGCCTGGACGCCAAGGTCAGCATGAGGCACCTGGCCCTGCTCCCCATCCCACATGCCTCCTGGGCCCTGGGAGGGAGGACGGCCAACTCCCTGTCCACCCCGCAGTCCTCCCCCAGAGAGGACCAAGGGACAGCACAAGGCCCAGAGAGCAAGTCCTCCTGGGGCACGGTTTCCTAAAGGGCAGGGAGAGGGTCCTGGGGTGACCACCCTCTTCAAACACTTCCCAGGCACCCGCCCCTCTCCTAGTGGGTAGTGGGCCTCATCCCTGGACTGGGTGGTCGCTCAGGTCAGACCTGTCCTCAAAGCCAACAGTCCGCGGTTCCAGGGAGGAGGAGGAAGAAGCTGAGAGCTATGACTCCCGACACTTCCGACACCAGACCTGTGGCTTCCAACAACCCATGATCCAGCTCGGACACCACCTGGGACTCCAGGGGGTCATCTCCAGTCCGACACTCACCACCCGGACTTGGCATTGGACCCCACAAGTTCAGGGCTGGGTTCCATAGGACTGCTCCCACGTCAGAGGCCAGCGGAAAGCTCTGGGTCTCCTGTCCCCGTGACCAACCAGATAGACCTGGAGGTTCCCACAGCCCTGTAGAGGGACCTTCATAGGACACTGTTAACCTGCTGCAGAGGATACAGATGAGCCGTGGGCAGAGGGACACCCAGGTCAGGGTCCAGAAGGATCCTGAGCACAGGAGCCTGTGTCCCCCTGAAGCTGGCCTGTGCCATCCTCGTGGCACATGGGTGCCCCCAACTCGGAAGCCTTCATGCGGCTTTGGCTTAGAGGGTTCCGCGGAGGATCCACGTCGTGGGCAATGGATCCTCCACCAGCTCCACCTCCAACCGCTCTCCCCTCCCTAAAAGCCAGGGGACGGGTTGGAAGTCCCAACCCTCTCCTCACAAGGTTGGTTCCTCTGGCCCCCAGCTCCCTCCATCCCAGTGAGCCCAGGAGTGACCGAAAGGAGCTGAACCTCGGTATCAGCAGGGACCCTCGTTTGGGAGTGTTTGGGGGGTGTCTGAGCAGCTATCAACGAGAGGAAGCCGTGGGGTTGGTGGGGGGAGCTCCTCAGTCAGGATCCTGGGGGGGAGGAGAAGGGCCTGGTAGGGTTTGTCCCCCCACTCCTAAATGGTGAGAAAATCCACAGAGGGCCGCGGAGATGACCAGGTCCTCAGGCACGCCCCTCTTTCCCGTGACAATAAGCAACGCCGTCCTCGTTCCACACAGAACCCTAAACTCCGCAGCTAGTGCCGGGACCCAGGCGTTTCCAGAGAGTTCTCCGTCCCCGCCCCATCTCACCTCTCTGCACGCACGGAGACGCCTTCTAATTGTCACCACATCGTCACGGCAATCTCAAAAGAGAGAGTGAGCCAAAGGCCGCCAGGGTCTTCTCTAAGCGGAAGACAAGGCGGAAAGCACAAGTGTGGGGTGGTGGCCGGGTCTCAGGATGTGGCCTCAGAAGACCCGGGTCCAGACTCGGCCCCACCCTGAAACTCCACCACCCCCCCTTCATCTGGGAAACCGAGTCCCTGACGAAGCCCCGGGCTGTGGTTTGGATGTCAGGTGTCCCCCAAAAGGTCACGGGGGAGGCAAAGGCCTTTAGAGGAGAAGTGACTGGGTTGTGAGAGCCCCGCCGCACGGTGCGCTGAGCCACTGATGGGGGTTAACTGGGGGGCGCCTGCAGGCAGACGCGGGCGAGGGCCGTGCCTTTGGGTTTTTACTCTGTCCATGGTCAGCCGCCTTCGACTCTCTCTGCTTCCTGGTCATCCTGTCTTGAACATCATCCCTCTGCTGACCCTTCCGCCATGATGTCCTGCCTCCCCTTGGGCAGCACAGTGGAGTGGGCCGTCTGTGGGCTGAGACCCCAAATGAGCAGGTCCTCCTCTAACTCTTCTTGTCGGGTCTCTTGGTCACCGCGGTGGAAAAGCCGAGTGAAGCCACACGGAAGCACCTTAGCCACTGGGCACGGACACACACGTCTTACACGGTGGCACTCTGAGTTGTCACAGCACACCAGCCCTGAACCGGCCCAGGGGTCCTCTATCCAGGGTGATTTTGTCCCTCAGGGGACGCTATCTGGAGACATGTTTCGTTACCAAAAGTTGAGAGAGGGGTTGCTGCTGACCTCTAGTGAGGAGAGACCAGGAATGCGGCCGAACCTCCTCCTCCGATCCTCAGGATGGCCCCTTGTGACGGAGAATCACCCAGCCCCACCTGTCAATAGCACCCAGGCCCAGAGGCACGGGTTCGGAATGAGCTGATGTGTTCCGACAGTTCAGGAACAGAGTCGGCGTTCAACGGATGTTTATTAAATAAATACCCAAACACACCAAGAAGGCGTCGAGTTCAATCATGTGCCTAACGGGAGGTATCAATGTCAGCGTAAGTCAGCAAGCCGGGGAGACTGAGGAAAGAGCCACTTCCTTGCACCTCAAAGAAGCAAGTGTGGTCCACGGACCACCTGCTGCTGGAAGGCGGCCCCCTGGACCCATAGGATCAGCCCCTGTATTTTAACGAGATCCCGGGTGCTTCATAGGCACATTCAGGTTTGACAGGCACCATCCGAGAATCTACCCTGTCGAGTTGAAAATTTCCCAATTGTGGTTCTAGGTTCCAACCAATTTGTGCAGAAGCCAAGGTCCCCCTGAGGTCAGCCCTGACACAGCCTCCCTCTTGGCTATGAGACCTGTCAACCACAGGTAGCCTCTCCCACTGGACGCTCTCCATGTGGGTACCAGACTCCGTGTCTCCCAGGCATGAGCAGGGCAGGTGTGCGCGCTCTCTCTGTTCACCAAGCTGACTCTAATGAGAGGCGGCATATCATCAATACCCCCTACACAGAATCTGCACGGAACGCCACAGCTGAAAGGTTCCTGGAAGAAGAAAAGAAAATCCTATTGCGACTTTCATTTGGAGTTTGATCGCTTCATTGCCTTTTACCCTCCGGGCTAAGGGGCAACCAAGAAAAGTAGAATCTGCAGGATGCTGGGCACCCGGGTCCCCGTCCATCTGGGATGCTGTGTCCTCCTGCACGGGGACAGGGAAACATGCTCTGCCTCAGCCCAATGCCACAAGCCCACCAAGCGGGACCATCACATTCTTCCTCCAGAGAATATGGGGACATCAGAATCCAGAGTTTACTGAGCACTGGGCTAAGTACCAAGGCACGGCTCTGAGTGTGAAATATCAAATTCCTCATTTTCTAGATCAGGAAACTTAAGCACAAAGAAGTTCAGCCACTTTCCCAAGGTCCTGTACCTAGAAAGTGAGCGGCGAGGCTGAGATTGGAACCCAGAGGTCTGGCTTCCGAGTTGGTGCCCTCACCCCCTGTTGCATTCGGTTTCCACTTTATGAGAATCAATGAGGCGTCGAAGAAATACCCACCCTGGTAAAGGAGACACACAGCAGCTAAGGTGTGTCATCCACAGGCACATGGAGCGAAGAAGCACGGGTTTTCTCCACCTGGGACCGACACATCCTCCCTTCTTCCCCATCCTTTGTCTAGTTTGGCTCGATGGTTTGGAATCGAGAAACAGAACATGCCGGGCACCTTCTAGGTAGTCATTAGATACTGTTAAAAGAATAAATAGATAAATCCAGGAGTGGCGCACACCTGTCATCCCAGAGGCTCAGGAGGCTGAGGCAGGAGAATCACCACCTCAAAGCCAACCTCAGCAAAAGTGAGGTGCTAAGCAACTCAGTGAGACCCTGTCTCTAAATAAAATACAAAATTGGGCTGGGGGTATGGCTCAGTGGTCCAGTGCCTCTGAGTTCAATGCCCGGTACCTCTCCCCCCCCCAAAAATAAGTAATAATAACAAAAAGTAGATAAAATATTTGACAAATGATTGGACCTGTTTCTGCAGTGAGACTCTTCTCACGCTGCAGATGAAACAGCCTCAGTGTGAACATTTGCTTTCCTCTTTCCGCCAGCGCCGTCCCGGAGCCCCACCTTATCTGTGGAATAGCTCCTGTCCCCAGCTCCACCTGGGTCGTTCCCACTGGTTCTGTGATGACCCCACACTGCAAAGCCCTGGCCTCAGCTGACCAGCCAGGCTGAGCTCCTGAAGCATTTCCGGCCCATGAGCACCTTTCTTTAGGAATTTTGGAATCAAGAGAAGGAAAACCACAGCCATCTCTCCAGGTAGATGAAGCTACAGGGGGGGCCTGGGGAGGGAGATCTGCAGGCATTTTCCTAATTTTCATCCCAGGGAGGCAGGCAGCCCGTCTGCATCACCAGAGCTGCATGAAGCTTTATGCTAATGCACAGCCAAGACCCAAAGATGAGAGAGAGAGAGAGAAATTACTCCTGACGTCGTTCAAGTCTCCGTTTCAAGACACTTACCCTCTCTTGAGCTGTCATATCTCTCTCTCTCTCTCTCTCTCTCTCTCTCTCTCTCTCTCTCTCTTTATTAAATGTTGGGAAGGGAGGTAATTAGACCCCAAGAGGTGACGTTCCACCTGGAGGGGCTCAATTTTATTGAGCCGCACCAGCTGAAGGAATCCGGTTCCTTCTGTGCCCGAATTCTCCCAGTGGCTCTCTTCTTGGCCAGTGTGACGGGCGTTCATGGGTGATGGACAAGCAAGGTGCTTCTTACATTTCTCAGAGCACAAGGGCCTGCTAAGTTGACTCACTGGCCTCCCGTGTTTGCGGGTGCCATGAGCCATCTCCCAGGGTCTCGGCACTCAGATCCTGCTCCTGTGGGGCTGAAAGACCGTCGCCGGGCCTCTCCCCAAGCATCTGATTTATACACGGTGGTTCTGCGTGCCCGTCGCAAGCTATGTCACAGGAACACCGAGGCTCCAAGGAGAGAGCCCTTCGGATCCCCTGGACCTCTATTTTCTGCATCTTGCTCCGAGGATCCTCAACCACCACCAAGAAGGGATGGGGTGGTCCTTTTCCGGGCTTCTGCCGCCGTGGCAGCTCTCCCTGCTGTTTTATATCCTTGGGTTTGCACAGAATATGTGCAACATTCCGACACCCTCTAGTTTATTTCTTCAAAAATTGAAAAAGGCAAATATGTCCCGTAAAATTAATGTTCATGATCTCCTAATGGGTCCTGACCTCAGGTGTGAAGAACATGACCTTGGCAGGCCCACAAAGCCCTTCCCGGCTGGAATTTGCATCAGATGAATGGATGAAGTCCAAGATCACAAATTGGTTCCCACAGATAGGAAGAGACATTTAATTTGAGACCCACGTGGTTGGCTAGCATAATGTTCAGAAACAAAAAGCTTCATTTCCAAAAGCTGCAAATAGAGATTTGCACACTCTTGGGCCTGGGTGGGGGGCAGAGAAGTAAGCAGCAAGGTGGGTGACACAGGATCTGTGTCCCCTTATAGCTGCAAATGGCTGGAGCTGAGTGGGGGGCCTGAGCCGGATCCTTCTATTCCAGGCCTTTCCCGAAATAGAAATTCTGGTCAGGAAGCAATGCCAAGCCCACACGACTCACCCCGGGGTCCCCAAGTCCCTTCCCACCCTAAACCCCATCTCGCTCTCGATTCTGCAAGCCGGGGCCTCTCTCCTTTTGATCAATGCCCTTTTGCTAAGATGCAGGTCAGTGTAATTCTCTGAAAGGTTAGGAGGAGAGAGGGCTCCAAGAGGGCTCGCTTATTATTTCAAATGCCACCATCCCGTTCTCTGGCATGCACAGAGTTATTTACAACTTGACTCCCGTCACACCTGCCGTGTCTGACCTGCCTCCCCCGCCCACCATCTCTCCAGCCCCCAAATGGGAGTTGGTGGCCAAGAGCCGCCCCTCCCGAGCCAGGGTGGTCTCTAACCTAAGAGGGGAGCCACCGCAATGGGTCATTTCTGTACCCAGCCGCACTTTCAAAGTCATCAATACAATGCACCTGTTTGGAGGCGTGTCGGGGTGTGGACTGTATCCACGTGGCTGCAGAAGCCAAGGTTAGAAACCCAGTACTGACGTTGTAAACTAGTGAGCTACAAAACAGAATCCTTTCCTCCTCTCCATAACGTGCGGCATATGGTTTAAGAGGTGGGTCATTTCAGTTAAAGAAGCACTTCAGGGACAAATATCCCTCCCGGAAGATGGCCAGCCCTCTGTCCACTCCCTCCGGCCAGCCAGAGGCTGAGGAACGGGCAGCATCGGCACTTCCTACAAGGGACTGGTATCCAGGAATAAAAACTTCATTTCCTGATAAATCTGGAAAGTGCCGATTTAAATAAATTCAGACCCGGCTCTTTATTGCAGAATCGGTCAGAGCTCTCAGTACCGTGAACGAGGGATAGAGGTAGACGCGACCTGCAACATTTCCCAAACTCCAAGAACCAGGCAACTCCTGAACCTGGGAGTTCCGCCGCCCTCGTGTTCTTCCAAATCCACCACAGGAGATTCCGATCTGAGTCCTTCTGTGGGATCAAGCATCGATGAGGTCGTGAAGCAGATAAGAACCACATGAAGATCCCACTTCCCACCCCGAGGATGACCAGGACCACAGATTGATACGACGACAACGAGAGTTGGCAAGGACGCAGAGGAACGGGACCCTCCCACCTGGCTGGTGAGACGGTGAAAACATGCAGCTGCTCTGGGAGAAGTCTAGAAGCTTCTTATGAAGATCCAACGTGCAGCATGACCCAGAGATTCCGACTCCTAGAAGGAAAATACCTCTCTGCATGTAAACGTTCCCAGCAGCTTTATTCAAAATAGACCCAAATAAGAAACGACCCAAATGCCCGTCCGGGGGTGAGTGGGTGAGTGCGATCTGTCTTTTCAAGGTTGTTATCAACCAGCAACAAAGAGGCAGGTGGAGCCGATCCACATGAACCTCAAGCGCATCCCGATAAGGGGACAAAGCCAGGCAGGAAAGACCCCTTGTTGTATGGTCCCATTTGTAGGAGAAGCCCCAAATGGTAAACACAGAAAGGGAGTAGGTTGGTGGCCGCCGGGGGATGGGACAGGGACTATGTATAAATGGGCAGGAGAGATCTCACTGAAGGGACGCAACTATTCTAAGACTAGATTGTGGTCATGGCTGCCGAACGGTAAATTTTCACAAAATAAATAAAAATCATGACATTTCAAATGAGCGAATTTTACAGTATGTAAATCATACATCGATAAAGTTGTTTTTAAAAGAATGCTATTGCCCATGAATGAAATAAAATTTTATCCACCTAAAAAAAAAAAAAAAAAAAGTTCCCTTCCGATTTTACACTCAGCCCTGTGCTTGCTGGAGATAGTAAGGAAGATTTCAGGCACTAAGTTCTGCTTCCCATTGCGGAGCGTTGAGCAAACTTTGAGTTCAAGCACCTGCCTTTTGAGTGGTGCTCAGAAGCCTGGATGGAATGAATTGATGGGAGAGAGGGTCCCGTGCACAGGTATCTGCACCCTGGAAGTCCCCCTGAGCTCTGTTTGCACCCTGGACAGAACCAGACCCAGCTCTCGGGCGTATTCAAATGGAGTCATTTATTAGAATTCCAGGGCCCGAAGTAGACGTGCTCGGGGAGGGAGTCTGGACTCTTTGATCCGCCTGGTTCCACTCTGACTTCTGTCTAATTAGCAAAGCTTTTGAGGCGGTGTGATAAGCATGCAGGGCACCGACGCACACGTCTGGCCACTGACTAATTAATTAATTTTTGACTTTGAGCAGTGACACTTAATTTGAAAACTTTCTACCATCCACGGATGAACATGGGGAAAAGTAGGGCAAGAGATTCTTAAATATGCTAAAGGTGCTATTCCAACTCCCGCCGATTTCCGAGAGGGCCCAGCGGGTCAGGGAGTTACATAAAGCCAGGGACGGTGGCTGGGGAGGGCCAGGTCAGCTCCAGGTCCAGGGTATGCTGGGCTCAGCCACCTGGCCTCTCTCTTCCCTTCCTCATTGGATCTGAAATCCAGTGGTCTCCTCAGCAGCAGCCTTGTTTATTGAGCACTGACTATATACATGGTCCGCACAGAAAAAAAAAAAAAGTGTGTGGAGGGGTAAGACCCAAAATGATTCACAGACAGGAAAATAGGAGCAGGGACCAAGTGTCCAGAAGATGATTAGATGACCAATGTCCAGACCTGGGGTCTGCAGGTGACACCCCGTAGGCCAAAGCCAGCCCACACCAGGGCTCACAGATCCTGCTCTAGGTGGGGTTTGTTTTATTTTTGGTACCAGGGATTGAACCCGGGGTGCTCTACCCCTGAGCCACATCCCCCAACCCTTTTTATTCTTCATTTAGAGGCAGGGTCTCACTAAGTTGCTGAGGCTGGCCTTGAACTTGCCATCCTCCCACCTCAGCCTCCAGAGTAGGCGGGATTCCAGGCTGGTGCCACCGCACCTGGCTCCCAGGTGGGGTGTAACATGGTCATGTGTTAGAGGAGGAAACGGAGGCTTAGAAAGCTGACCCCTGACCCATAAAGTCCCAGAACTGGTGTGTGGAACCAGGCTCACCTGCGACCTCACACCAGGTTTCCTATCATGTCAACATCATCTGACAAGAGGCTCCAGGGTGTCTCCTTTGTAAAGGGTCGGGGGCGGGCCTTGGGGACAGTTTGAGAGTGACATGTTTGATCAAGTCTGTTTAGTCATCTCTAAGCTGCAAGAGCAGCCCCCCTCATGAATGGCCCCCTCTGAGCAGGTCCAAATACCAGGCCACCCAACTTAACAGACTTTTACCAAAGTGGGGGGGGGCTTCGAGATTTTTCCGAGAGAAGGTCACTGCGGCCCTGAACTCCAGATCTCCCCAGTTCCAGATGCGAAAAGCGCCCCTTCCCCTATCAAAGGCCTTCTCCTGGTTTTCCATCCAATATCTCCCCTCAGAAAATAAAAACCCAACCCCACCCACAGCCTCCACCCTCCAAGGTGTAGACCCGCGTCGCTCTAAGAGCCTGCATTGCCACCAAGGCCGGTCGGACGGGCACCAAGTCCTGTCTCCAGCCTCGGGGAAGAGACCCAGCCTGGCCCCATTTCCCTCCCGGCGAGATTCTCCCCCCCTGACCACCTCCAGCATAGGGAAAGGAACGGGGTTTCTCACGAGCAACCGTGTTTCAAGTCTTTTTGGGCCCAAATCCATGTTTGGAGAACATGTTCCCTCCAGCTCCACCCAGGCCAGTCTGCAGAACACAATCTCAGCTTTCGTCACTAAATGGAACTCCGCATTTCAGGCCACCGCTCCTGCATGTGTGTGAGCATTAACCAAGGCCACCAGGAGCTCACGGGGCGTCCCGTGACCAAATTAGAAAATCGCACCTCTTCCCCAGCAGATATTCTACTCGCCTGCACGTGGCTTTGTGGGAATTAGAACGAAGCACCCCCTCTCAGCATGGGTGTGAGCCACACTGGGATCCGAGGTGGGGCAGAGAGAGGGCTTTGGAGTAATGTCACTCTTGCGCAGTGAGCAACCTGCCCAGCTGTCTAGGACTGTACCTGGCTTTTCCAGCGAATACTCATCACTGTTTGACTAAAGGACACGTTCTGATGACACTCTCATACAAAGTTCTGGCCTGAAAAAAAGCGAAACTGATAGCCACCATTATCAAAAACAAAGGCAGGGGGAAATCACTGGAATTTTCAATAGAATAATTTGAAAATCTTGCTCTGAATTCACAACTCAGCCAGCTTTCTGCCGTGGGATTGGAGACATGTCACCTGCCTTGTCTCTGGTTTTCATTTGTAAATCAGAAGCATCCACGTTGGCACTCCCAAGATCGCAAAGACGTCCAACAAAACCTCTGCTTAGAAAACAGAGTAGCCGGTCAACATCCAATGCCAGGTGGGTGTTAAGCCATAACCACATCAAAGGACAGAACGGGTGGGTGGTATCCTCCAGGCTTTCAGGGGAAGCCACCGCTCTGTCCTGGCTGCTTGTGGCCACAGTATTCTTCAAGGGGAAAAAAAAAAGGTCATTCAAGCAATAAAGGGTTTCTAATGTGGAAGCTAATTAGTCCTCAAAGCCTTTTGGTCCCGACTATCAATTAGAGTAAGGTGCAAACCCTCTCTCCCCTCAACCGCATCCCCTTGAACTGTAAGTGGGGCTTATCGGGGTCGCTTTAAAGACTTCCGCAGAACACCCCACATCCCAGCCGGGCTGTCTACACTCGCGCCTTTCACCACTGCAATGTGCCATCCGACATCTGGGACGGCGCTGGGCGTGAAAACCAAATGCAAAGCTCATTTTTCTTTGTCTGAGGCTCCCGGTGGTAGGAGGAGATGTTAGACACCCTGCACGGGGGTTTGTCTTTGCAACCCACCCAAGCAGAGATGTGCACCCCTCTCTGGGAAGGCGAGTTATTGACAAGACGCATTTTTTGAAAGCAGCTTCCTCTGCATGTAACGGGAGGGCATGGGGGCAGGGAGATGCCTCCCGGAGCAGTTTAAGGCATGATCGATGCCTGTGTCAAAGGCGGCGATAAGACACGCTGTGCTTATCAAAAACGGAGGGCCTGATGACGGGGTTCACATGTGGCAGGAAGATAAGGAGAGCCGGGCTCTTCTCTGCCTCTCTCCCCTCCTCGAAGATCCTGTTTTAATTTCCCACCCTGCATGGGACGCGCTGGGTCCCGGTGGAGACCACGGAGCCGCGCTCAATGCCTTTTCTAATCTCACTGTAAATGTTTCCGGGAGATGATAAGCAGACGCTGGACCTCGGTGCTATTTGGGGAGAGAATGCACAAGCCTGTGTCGGAGACCTGAAAGGAGGCGGAAGGTTCTGGAAAACACTCTGAGCACCTGAGAAAGGAGTGGTGGGAGGGCTGAGCTGCAGGTTGAGAATGCAGGCAGTGCTTTGTGCGTTTGCATGAGTAACGTCACCTCCTGGGAATGGAGGCTCCTCTTCTACAGAGCAGGGGGAGGTGGACCGGGCCATCACCACGCATCTGTCCATCTAGAGCAACCCCTGCCCGCTCCTCTCGGCTGATAAAGCTACAGTCACCTGGGTTGCATTATCCCAATTGCATAATGTCTCAGCTTGGGCTGCTGTAGCGGCTGGTGGAAACAACATGGTGTTTTGTTTGTTTTTCTCACGTTTCTAGAGACTGGAATCCAAGATCAGGGGGCCTGCAGATTGCATTCCTGGTGAGGACACTTTCTGGCTTGCAGACAGCCACCAGTCACTGTGTCACCACACGACAAAGAGGCAGAAACCTGGCTCTCTTGTCCTTACAAGGGCGCTAATCCTGTCACTCGGCCCTCACTCAAACCCCGTTTCCTCCCCGTGGCCCTGCCTCTTAATGACATCACGCTGGGGGTTAGGCTTCATATATGAATTTGGAGGGTCCATAACCCAGGACCAAAGCTTCCTGCAAGATCCTTCTGCAAGATCAAGGAGCTTCCAGAATCTGCCCAGGAAAGCCGAAGGCCGCTGGTGGCTCCCGACCGCTCCTCCCTCCAGCTTGGCCATTGTCCCCACTGCTGCTCCTCAGGCAGAGTGCCACTGTCCCTTTGCTTATCCCAAGCCAGGAGGGTGCTCCTAAGGCTCCCATCCTAGCTTGGGTCTGCTCTGCTTTTCCTTGATGACAATCAAAGCCACCTTCTGTTCCCTTTGTCCAAACCCGAGATCAAACCTGCCCATGTGAAAAAGGGATTTCTGTTTCCCTACTGGGCTCCTTGGCTTTCTGTCCTGTTGCACAGAAAGCGGTGGCTTGGCCTTGAGAACGATCCTAAGGCCACGTTGGGGCTGAGACCAGAAGAGAACTGTGATTGATTAGTGATGTCTGCCACGGGTGCTGCGTGGGAGAGCACGGCGGACACCCAGAGCTGGCCCTCCCGGAGGCTGAGCCTCCACCACGGCTCCCACACACCGCTGGTGCCCTGGGGTGAGCGAGGGTGCTTACTTATTTATTGTAGCTACCGATATTTTATGACTATTCTTACAGTGACTCCAAATAAGTCGTACCGATTCTCGTGCCCCATGGGAGATTGTGACGGTCCCTCTGCCTGCTTGAGACGTGGATGGCGTGCAATCCAGAGAGAGCTGGGTCATCATCTTCTACGACTTCTTTTTTAAACGAATGAACTATGTATTTCTGGAATTTTCTACATGACTTAATTTTTTAAATAAAAGTGACACAGGAGGGCACACGACATAATGTTTTGAT